AAAGTAACTTACAAACAAAATAAGTATCTGTGAAATAGAACATCAGGACTGTGTAATTATATGTATTGTAAAAGCAGAATTTTACTATAAACAATTACTTTTGCACGGATTCTTGCAAAGTTCCCAGATGTCACATGACATGCATTACCTCAGCAGCAACCACAAAGGGAGGCATTTAGAATTATATTAACTCTTGGACAACACAATTGATCTAAAGTTTTGAGAAAAATAGCAGACTAAAAGGGCACCTCAGGAAATTCTAACATAATTGATAATGCTCTGTGGAACAATGATTCAAAGTTAACATGACAACCAACTTAAGTTTTTGATCTCTTAAAAAAAAAACCAGGCTGTGAGAAACCATCCTAATCAGAACTCCAACAGACAGAGAGAAGGTTTCCCAAAAGAGAGATGGCAAAAGACAATCCACGTTAAAGGAAGCTGTACAGAATGATATTATCAAGGGTCACAATATGTATTGACACAAAAACAAATATAAAGAAGCCTTTAGTCCGTCCCAGAAACTGTACCTTTCACCCATACCTACTTTTATTGTACTTGTATTTTAGAATAATTATTTCATTTTTACTCAGTAACTTTCAGTAATAGTTGTTTAATAGATTAACCTTTATCTTGTTTAAGAGGAGAATCTTCTTGTTGGTTATTTTTAAATTGGAGCACTCAAGAAACTAAAAAGGCTGTGGACTACTTGGCAGATGCACCATGGTGTGATTGTGACAGTAGCCAAAAGGTAGCAGCCAATTTACACACAGCCAGGTCTCACAAACAGCAGCAGAGTGCATGGCATGACAAAATACAAAGAGATTAGGAGAATAGTCAATAAACAGATTAGGTAAAGTCACCACAGAACTACCAGATCACATGGCTGCTTTCACATTACAGAGAGATGAATGGTGGTGGTTTAACCTAACAATCACCATACCTCAGGCAAGGGGAGAGGCTGAGGAGGAGAATCCTTCACAGTAACCTCAGCTGATGTTCATTCTCTATTGCAAACCAGCCACCCAGTCAACTGAGCTAACATACCCGTTCAAATCAATTAAGAGGGCAAAGAGAATCTATGACATGAAGTTGTCCAGCAACTTAAAACTACATAGAAAATATTTCACAGGCATGTCAATAAAACAGGCAGGTTCTGATAGGAATAGGATGTTAAAGGATAGATGGGATAATATCATGTGTATTAGAGACACAGGCTAAAATACTAAATTATTTTGTTCAGTATTTACCAGGGAAATGGAACTGGTAGACATGACATTTAATGATGACATAAGCAATAAGAACATTTAACATTAAAAGAAAGAGGTAGATCAATAAATCAATCAAACATTTTTGTAAAAAAAGGAAGAAGTTCATGGCCCAGTTAGATTGTATCTGCATATTTTAAAAGAATCAAGGGAAGCAATAACAGACACATCAAGTTAATAACTTGTTAGAAGCAAATTAAAATTGTAATTCTTTCCAGAAAATTTATCTTAATGTAAATTATTTTGTATTATTCAACATTATCACCAACTACTTTATTGTGTCCGAGTTCTGAGGCCGGTTCTGAGGAAGGGTCACCGGACCGGAAACATTAACTCTGTTTTTCCCTTCCCAGATGCCGCCAGACCTGCTGCGCTTTTCCAGCAACTTTGCTTTTGTTCCTGATTTACAGCATCCACAGTTCTTTCGGTTTTTACTTTATTGTGTCTTTGAATATCATATTCCCTTCCCATACCTACCCATCGTTTACAAATCAAAACCGTAAGTTTTCCACTCATCCCTACAACACTCATATGAATGTTGTAGTAATTTATCTAATTGGTGCAAAATATGTTCTGGGTTTCCAAATGTACATTAAGAGGGAGTATACAGAAATTACTGCGAAGTCCACTGTCAGAGTTTAAAAGAAACAATTGCTTACAAACTGTGAAAGTAGTAACAATTGTTTCTCACAAGTGAATTGGCAACACTGGTTTTGCTGAGGCAAAATAACTGTGCTTGAAATTAGTCTCTTTTTCCACAGAATTCCTAGAGTGTGGAAGCAGGCCATACAGTCCATCAACAGCAAGCCACCCAGACCCATCCCTTACCCTATAACCCAGAATTTCCCACGACTAATCCACCTCGCTTGCACATCCCTGGATACCCCATGGGCAACTTAGCATGGCCAATCCACCTGACCTGCACATCTTTGTCTGTGGAAGGAATTTGGAGCACCTGGAGGAAACCCACACAGACACTGGAAGAATGTTCAAGTTCCACATAGACGCCCAAGGCTGGAATTGAACCCAAGTCCCTATCACTGTTAGGCAGCAGTGCTAACCACTGAGCTACCCAATCTCACTTGCCAGCTATTTTCCTCTGTCAGACCTTAATCATAAAACCAGGATTTACACGCAGCTGAAAGATCAGATATATCAATATTTTGAGTATAACTCCACCTCAGTGTGTTGATTATTTCCAGAGTTTTTTTTACTTTCATTTATTTCTGGATTTTATTTCAGAACAATCTCCTCATTTCCTTTTTGCCCATCAGTGGATGCAAGCATTAGTATCTGCTCACAATAGCATTCACTCACTCTTGTACTTTCCACTCTTCCCATTTACCATGTTGCTGTTCCTGACTATGAGAAATACTGGAACTTGTGTCCATCCCCACCTAAAACCAAATGGATGTGATTTCCAATCAGCTTTCGCCTCAAATTATATCTCGTACCCTATTTCACAATCACTTCCTCATTCTTAATTCCCAGCCCTATCAATTCCCATTCCTATTTCAATCTTCGAAGCAGCAAAGTCTCAAACCACAATTGCATTAATAGTTCCAAAATCTGTACAATCTCATCAATTCAAATTACTTGAATGTTCTTCCAATCCAATATCCTAACAAATTTGATCACCCACATGAATCCAAATTACATTCTCTAAGATGTAACCTCTGAAACGGTTCCTGCATTCCTATCTTCTGAACCTCCTCCCCACAATTTCAATCTCTTGACCTTCCAGAATTTCAACCTCACTCGTCCAATTTGCAATCTCTTGACCATCCATCCCAAATCCCAATATTCTGATTCTTCCTCCTGGCCAAATTCAAATCACCTACTTACCCTTTACCCAAATCCCAATCTTGTAACTCCCTCTCAAATCAAACAAAAACTCCTGACTGATCCCAAATCCCATCGTGCTAATTCTATATTCTCCAATATTCTCATTACCATGCCCTAATTCCAATGCCTCTAGTCCCTTTCAAATTTTGACTTTTCACCATCTGCCATCATTCCAGTCACACCTCAGCAAATGATAGTGATGGGTTGTGCATAGTAGAACTGTGTCCTATTGTGACAGACTTGGCTCAGCACAAATGCCTGATGGGAAATACCTTCTAAACCAAATGAAGAATAGGAAGATACTGGGGAGCTGCATGGTTAATGCAACAGCACTCCAATATGAGTCACTGCTTTAGAAGAGGAAAGAGACATTCATGGTACCGGGGCAGTAATTTTGAGAGCATGTTAAGAATTCAATATAAACAATTTTAAGATACATCTTTTGTGCTACAAAAGTACTTTTATTTACAGGCTTTATAATCTGAACCAGATGAAGCAGGATTTGTATCCTGCTGTATACGGATAAAATGTTACATCAGTCCTGCAATCATACATTAAACAGACAGTATTAAATGTTGCTATTAAAAGGCAATATTAAGTTTTAATATTGTTTTTTAAAAAAAACTTGCCTACTCTAGTGCACATGGGACTCAGACATGCAAACACCAAATCTGGCCCCTCACTATTATGTACCATTAAAATGTCATTCATTTGATTGCTTGAAGAGGTTTTTAGATACATTTGAACTGCCACTGTCTCCAGCACAGTGTCAGGCAGCCAACAGTGACCAGCAGAAACACTGCTGCGTAAGTATGTCAGCAGTATTGTATTTACAGGCTCATTACCTGATCCTTCAAAACCCCTGCTTTATCAACACATAACGTAACCAAGTTTAAAAAAAAAGTACTTGAGCACCATTTGTTTTGCGTACTTTTTAAAGATTCAATGGACAATCCTCCTTTAACTACTTAGGATCAAGAATTTCTTGAAGCTACAGATAATGTTCTGGATTGAGAGTGTGTTGGTTTTGTTTGTTTGTGATTTACTTTTAGAAAATTTCTGTGGCTTTAAAGCCTATCTCCTAATACTTCAACTTGCAATAAAAAAGATTGCCAAGGACACCGTCAAGATCCTCACTGGCGTTCAATAGGTGTCCTTGATAGGAGAACTGGAAGAAACACAGACTTCTAGTTGCTCACTAAAAAGAATTGCTCAGACTATGAACCCACACCATGGAATCTCACTTAATACAAAATTCAACTTGCTAATATTTTTGATTATAACGAAGGTTGGCAAGTACAAGTGAATCTGAACATTCCCTGCTTGTTAATGAACCCTCTTACCAATGGAATGTTTGGTCATTTTTATTTTACATGATATGTGTGTTGCCGAAAAGCCCAATATCCCATCACTTGGTAATACTTTCCTACTATTTGAATGATCAATATGAACATTTGTTATATTCACAGGCTTGTGATGTTGACACTCGTGCACAGTGGAAAAGTGAAGCACTTCTCAATGTCAAATTTCTGATGCAAGTCACTGTAAATTAGAGATTTCCATAAATAATTCAAAACTGTATATCAGGTAAAATAAAAACAATTGAAAGATAGGCTGCATCACAGTTCAGACACTGAGGTCAGGTGAACAGTTACTTATCTCTCTTTAGGTTATCCTGTGTTTTAAAAGTAAGCATATGCATTGTCTGGAACCTGTGATGCATTACCGTCTACAGGGAATTACTGCATTGACAGATAGTAAGTTCTGGCAACTAATCTTTCCTGCAGCATTGTTACATTTTTTTCCACCATAAGTTTCAATTCCAGGTAGTACTCATGGAAACTTTCAAAGCACTTAAATCATTTAAAAAAAATTCAAGAACAATCATCACGGCACTTAAGATTTAATGTACATTTATTCTTAACATGTGGAACATATAGTATAAAGATTTTATACTGAATAAATGATATTCATTAAGCCAGAGGAAAAGGAGGAATTTACATCAAGTTTTAACTACATTATCTGAAATACAAATATGCTGATTCGCACTGAAAAATTTTTGAAATTGTGTTTCTTCATTTTTTTTTTAAATTTCTGATCATTACCTGTACTTAACCTTTTCCACACCTTGATTATGAAGCAAAATGTGATCAGCTGCTCTCCTTGAAATAGAGCATGACTTTATACATACAGAAACTTGTACATCACCCTCATTGGAGATATGGCCAAAATATATAATAAAAAAAATAATTAAAATCTACCACTTTCTTTAAACCTTACCACATCATGGAGAAAGAAAAACTGTAAACCTCATCCTAAAAGAAACAAAAAACAAACACAACAGAAATAGTTTGAGGGTATGTGCAATGTACAACTTCTATATACAATACAGCCATTTGGCTGTAGGAAAAAAATATCAAAAGATGAACTGAGTGAAGCAAGAAATGGCTGAGGACTGTCATACTGTGGAAGGTCAAGGAAGGTATGAATATGACAGTATTGTGAGGAAGCAATTGTGTGTATCACTTCTCTCCCTCCCCACAACCCAGATCAACAGTTTATTTGCTGCTAGACTAATGCATTTCAATTTCTTCTGAGTTTGGACTAATGCACACCTGTTTTTTGATCCCCTACACCTAGATCACTAAGTTCTATTGCACAGCGCTTTCTGTGGTGTGTACATACTTCAAAATTATTCTGGCGCTTTTTTTTTTCCTTTTTCTTATTTTTAAGTGGTAAAGAATATTTAATTGTACAATGTTTGCCACATTTCAAAATTCACCTTTTTCGCTTCCAAAAATATCATACAAACATGAAAGAAACACCCAAAGGGAATCTAGGGATAAAGGTGACCCCCACTGTACTAGACAGCAACTTTGGTTAAAAAAATGTTTTAAAAAGTACTTACACATAGACAGCAAATATTTATTTCCATCTTATATTTGACCAAATTGACTACCTTTTTAAAGCCCAATTTAGTAAATGGGGCAGAGGAGCAAAGATGATTTTTGTTGTTGGATAAATAACAGAAGTAGTTAATCAAATGCAACTCCTTTGTCTCCACTCACACATGCTTGGCTTCCCACTTCTGTCATAATTGACCAATCATGAACAGTGTATCACAAATGACAGATGCAACCATAGAGTTCAGAATAGATGATATAGAAATATCTAGCAAGCGGCCCTCATATAAAACAAATTCTGAGCGGTTCTCTTCTATCCTAGCCATGGCAAGCAAAGCCTTGGCTGCTCGACACATCATGTGCACACTGGTTGGTTCAATAGGTGGAGGCTGCATGTGCATCAAATTCGGCTGACTGTGCTGAAGTTGGGCCACAGTGAGGCCATCCTCAAGGAAGCTGATCAGATTGCTGATGCTTCCTTTTTGCACAGCAATAGCTCTAGCCACTAATGTGTCCCCCTGGGCAAAGTTTGACAACAGAGCAACGGACATTTCTCGGCAGACTGAAATTCTTCGGTCTCCCACGTACCTAACCAAAGTAGCATATAGTTTCTCCTGGCGGCTGAAAGGGGGAGTTGCCAGGATGAGATCTACATTATTGTCCTGAATGCTGAGTTTACATAAAGTCTCCAACACAAGTCTCTGTGGTGACAGCACTGAATTAAGTCCCACTGTTGGGAAAGGATCCTGGGCTTCTGCTGAAGGACAGACCATCCAGTGTAGCAAGCCATCCAAAATTGGCAAACAAATGCTTTCTGGGTATACAGACAGGTCCAGCTGCCCGGAAATGTTGGCTAAGGTAACTAATGTGTTCTCCCGTAAAACCTCAAGGCAATCCCACCACCATTCATCTTTGTTGCAGGCTACCCCTTCGTCCTCTTCTTCCTCTTTCTCATAAGTTCGTGGTGTTCTCTTTCTTTCTGGATGCTCATGATGAAGCAAAATTAGCTTCCCCAAAATAAGTATTAGGCCCGAGTGCTTTGACATTTCAGCGTCATTCCCAGGCACAAAAGACAAGCTACGAACTATATTTGACACACATATGCAACGTTTTGCCAAAGAGTCCCGCCAGTCAGAGATTGTGCACAATGGAGTCTCATCACGGCTACAAGGCTCATCCTCCAATAACTTTATATTTCTGTGTGCTTTTGCTTGGTGTATACCAAATAGAAACTTACTGCTGTCTGTTTCAGAAGTCAAATGATTAGAATTGTCTTCTGGTAGAGCTCCAGGCCGTGCTGACAATACATCATCTATTGTTGCTGTGATACTCTTTTCTGGCTGCTCTTCTGTATTTATGTCTTCAAAGATCTCATGTTCTTTTGTTTTCTTCTCTTTATTTGGACTGCTTAAGCATCCTGGCACCTTCTTGCGTGATAGCATTTCCATTTTACTCTCAAAATGGGTCTGAATGTGCTCCGTTGTATCGCCTCCACCAATCTTCCAATGGAGCAATCCACTGTCGAATTCTTGAACTCTACCAAGTTTATTTGTACGATCAACCACAAAAAGATCCTTTCTCTTCACAATCTTCAATGGCAGTCTGTCAAATTTACTGGCTTGTTTTGGTTTCTCATCACTAACCTGTGAATCATTTGTTGCAATGTTGACTCGGCTCTCTTCATTTCCAGACTGGCCATCTTCCTCTTCGTCAATGTCATCGCCATCACAATCATCGTAATCATCGTCATAATCTAGTTGTTCTTCAACCTCGTCTTTCTTAATATCATCCGCAGTACAGTTAACATCATCTTTCTTAAAAGCATCTGGATCAAGGAGAGCCTTCTGGCCTGGATCTCCAACCTCATATTCTTTCAATATTCCAAATATTTCTATCAAGCATCTTCGGAAATATTCCACCAGAAGCTCCAAGAAACCAGACAACTGTAAGAAGAATAGAAATAAAAGGATTTTCAAACTTGCAAACATATTCTTTTCAGTTATTCAACTTATTTGTCATACAGACTTTTCAATGAGCCTACATGGTTGGCTTTGGGGTCCAAAAGGGTGTTCTTAAGGTCATTAGATCTGTCTCTGCTAGCCTTACCTACTAGTCCAGATACCATATGCAATCGGTACAGTGTTTTGATTTTTCTCTATATATTTTTCTATGTCTCTTGTACATTTTGATTTTAGTATCATGGTATTTTGCTGCTGCATTCACTTTATTGCAATTACAGCACTTTCTGAACAGTTAATACAGGCTTTCAAAAATTAGAACAGGAACATAGTACATCTCCATTTTTAGATGTCTCATTCAACGTTATTCATAAGACTACAATGATTCACTCACTCACTCGGCCTCTACAGGCCTCTGCAGCAATGAATTTCACAGATTCACCACCCTCTGGCTGAAGACATTCAAAGAACAAAGAAAATTACAGCACAGGAACAGGCCCTTCGGCCATCCAAGCCTGCGCCGATCCAGATCCTCTATCTAAACCTGTCGCCTATTTTCCAAGGATCTGTATCCCTCTGCTCCCCGCCCATTCATGTATCTGTCTAGATACATCATAAATGACGCTATCGTGCCCGCCTCTACCACCTCCGCTGGCAACGCGTTTCAGGTACCCACCACCCTCTGCGTAAAGAACTTTCCATGCATATCTCCCTTACACTTTTCCCCTCTCACCTTTTAAGTTGTGACCCCTAGTAATCGAGTCCCCCATTCTGGGGAAAAAACTCCTTGCTATCCACCCTGTCTATACCTCTCATGATGTTGTAGACCTCAATTAGGTACCCCCTCGACCTCCGTCTTTCTAATGTAAATAATCCTAATCTACTCAACCTCTCTTCATAGCTAGCGCTCTCCATACCAGGCAACATCCTGGTGAATCTCCTCTGCACCCTCTCCAAAGCGTCCACGTCCTTCTGGTAATGTAGCGGCCAGAACTGTACGAAGTATTCCAAATGTGGTCGAACCAAAGTCCTATACAACTGTAACATGACCTGCCAACTCTTGTACTCAATACCCCGTCCGATGAATGAAAGCATGCTACTTGACCACTCTATCGACCTGCGTTGCCACCTTCAGAGTACAATGGACCTGAACACCCAGAGCTCTCTGTGCATCAATTTTCCCCAGGGCTTTTCCATTCACCATACAGTTCACTCTTGAATTGGATCTTCCAAAATGCATCACCTCGCATTTGCCTGGATTGACCTCCATCTGCCATTTCTCTGCCCAACTCTCCAATCTATCCATATTCTGCTGCATTCTCCGAAAGTCCCCTTCACTATCTGCTACTCCACCAATCTTAGTGTCATCTGCAAACTTGTTAATCAGACCATCTATACCTTCCTCCAGATCATTTATGGATATCACAAACAACAGTGGTCCCAACACGGATCCCTGTGGAACATCACTGGTCACTGTTCTCCATTTTGAGAAACTCCCTTCCACTATAACTCTCTGTCTCCTGTTGCCCAGCCAGTACTCTATCCATCTAGCTAGTACACCCTGAACCCCATGCGACTTCACTTTCTCCATCAGCCTACCAGGGGGAACCTTATCAAACGCCTTCCTGAAGTCCATGTATATGACATCTACAGCCCTTCTCTCATCTATCAACTTTGTCATTTCCTCAAAGAATTCTATCAAGTTGGTAAGACATGACCTTCCCTGTACAAAACCATGCTGCCTATCACCAATTAGCCCATTTTCTAACAAATATAAATAGATCCTATTCCTCAGTATCTTCTCCAGCAGCTTCCCCACCACTGGCGTCAGGCTCAGCGGTCTATAATTACCTGGATTATCCTTGCTATCCTTCTTAAACAAGGGGACAACATTAGCAATTCTCCAGTCCTCCAGGACCTCACCCGTGCTCAAGGATGCTGCAAAGATATCTGTTAAGGCCCCAGCTATTTCCTCTCTCGCTTCCCTCAGTAACCTGGGATAGATCCCATCCAGACCTGGGGACTTGCCCACCCTAATGCCTTTTAGAATACCCAACACTTCGCCCCTCCTTATGCCGACTTGACCTAGAGTAATCCCTAACCTCAACATCCGTCATGTCCCTCTCCTCCGTGAATACTGACGCAAAGTACTCATTAAGAATCTCACTCATTTTCTCTGACTCCTCGCATAACTTCCCTCCTTTGTCCTTGAGTGGGCTAACCCTTTCTCTAGTTACCCTCTTGCTCCTTATGTATGAATAAAAGGCTTTGGGATTTTCCTTAACCCTGTTTGCTAAAGATATTTCATGACCCCTTTTAGCCCTCTTAATTCGTTGTTTCAGATTGGTCCTACTTTCCCGATATTCTTCCAAAGCTTCGTCTGTTTTCAGTCGCCGAGACCTAATGTATGCTTCCTTTTTCCTCTTTGCTAGTCTCACAATTTCACCTGTCATCCATGGTTCCCTAATCTTGCCCTTTCTATCCCTCATTTTCACAGGGACATGTCTGTCCTGCACTCTAATCAACCTCTCTTTAAAAGCCTCCCACATACAAAATGTGGATTTACCCTCAAACAGCTGCTCCCAATCCACATTCCCCAGCTCCTGCTTAATTTTGCTATAGTTGGCCTTCCCCCCATTCAGCAATCTCCCTTTAGGACCACTCTCTTCTTTGTCCATCAGTATTCTAAAACTTATGGAATTGTGATCACTATTCCTAAAGTAATCCCCTACTGAAACTTCAACCACCTGGCCGGGCTCATTCCCCAACACCAGGTCCAGTATGGCCCCTTCCCGAGTTGGACTATTTACATACTGCTCTATAAAACCCTCTTGGATGCTCCTTAAAAATTCTACTCCATCTAAACCCCTAACACTAAGCGAATCCCAGTCAATGTTGGGAAAATTAAAATCTCCCATCACCACCACCCTGTTGCTCGTACATCTTTCCATAATCTGTCTACATATTTGTACCTCTATCTCATGCTCGCTGTTGGGAGGCCTGTAGTACAGCCCCAACATTGTTACCGCACCCTTCCTATTTCTGAGCTCATCTGGAGCCCCACCAACACCAGCATGTTTCTTCAGATACAAGGCCCAAAACTGCTCACAGAATTCTAAATGTGCTCTGACCAGAGCCTTATACAGCCTCAGCTGTACGTCTTTGCTCTTATTTTTCAGCACTCTTGAAATAAATGCGAACATTACATTTGTCTTCCTAACTGTCAACTAAACCTGCATGTTAACATTAAAAGAATCATGAACTAGGACTCCTAAGTCCTTTGTGCTTTAGATTTCCAAAACGCTTCCCTATTTAGAAAACAGTCATAGAATACAATAGAATCATACGGTATATAAGAGGCCCTTCAGCCCATCAAGTCTGCACCAACAAAAACTACTCTCAATGAGTCCTGCTTTCCTGCAATAGGCCCATTTCCTTGAATGTTGTGAAAGATTGCAGCAGTTCAAGAAGGCAGCTCACCACCACTTTCTCAAGGGAAACTAGGCATGGGGAATAAATGCTGGCCAATCTACATCTCAGTTCTTCCCACCAAAATGTATGATCTCACACTTTGCCATTCCATCTGCCACTTCTTTGCCTACTCTCCTTGCCCGTCCAAGTCCTTCTACAGCCTCCCCACCTCCTCAACACTACTTGTCCCTCCACCTATCTTTGTGTCATCTGCAAACTTAGTAACAAGGCCTTCAGTTCCTTCGTCCAGATTGTTAATGTATAATTTAAATAGCTGGGGTCCTAATACTGACCCCTGTGAAACTCCAATGGTCACTGACTGCCATCCTGAAAAAGACCCCTTTATACACACTCTTTGACTTCTGCTGGTCAGTCAATCCTCTATCCATGTCAGTACTTTGACCTAACACCATGGGCTCTTATTTAATTTAGTAGTCTCCTGTGCGGCAGATTGTCAAAGTCGTCTGGAAATACAAACACATCACGTCCACTGGCTCTCCTTTGTCTAACTTGCTTGTTATCTCCTCAAAGAATTATAAAACATTTGTCAGGCATGACTTCCACTTGACGAACTTGTGCTGACTCTGTCCTATTTTACCTTACACATAGAACATAGAACATTACAGCGCAGTACAGGCCCTTCGGCCCTCGATGTTGCGCCGACCTGTGAAACCAATCTGAAGCCCATCTAACCTAAACTATTCCATTATCATCCATATGTTTATCCAATGACCATTTAAATGCCCTTAAAGTGGGCCAGTCTACTATTTTTGCAGGCAGGGCATTCCACGCCCTTACTACTCTCTGAGTAAAGAACCTACCTCTGACATCTGTCCTAAATCTATCACCCCTCAATTTAAAGCTATGTCCCCTCGTGCTAGGCATCACCATCTGAGGAAAAAGGCTCCCACTGTCCACCCTATCTAATCCTCTGATCATCTTGTATGTCTCTATCAAGTCACCTCTTAACCTTCTTCTCTCTAACGAAAACAGCCTCAAAACCCTCAGCCTTTCCTCATAAGACCTTCCCTCCATACCAGGCAACATCCTGGTAAATCTCCTCTGCACCCTTTCCAATGCTTCCACATCCTTCCTATAATGCGGTGACCAGAACTGTACGCAATACTCCAAGTGCGGCCGCACCAGAGTTTTGTACAGCTGCAACATGACCTCATGGCTCCGAAACTCAATCCCTCTACCAATAAAACCTAACATACTGTACGCCTTCTTAACAATGCTATCAACCTGGGTGGCAACTTTCAGTGATCTATGCACATGGACACCGAGATCTTTTTGCTCATCCACACTACCAAGAATCTTACCATTAGCCCAGTACTCTGTATTCCTGTTACTCCTTCCAAAGTGAATCACCTCACACTTTTCCGCATTAAACTCCATTTGCCACCTCTCAGCCCAGCTCTGCAGCTTATCTATGTCCCTCTGTAACCTACAACATCCTTCTGCACTATCCACAACTCCACCGACTTTGGTGTCATCCGCAAATTTACTAACCC